GAACAATGCCATCATTCTTCTGATCATTGTAATATGAATGCAATTCAAACATCTGCTATTTATTATAATGTTATTGTTCCTATAGGAGATAAAGTTGTTGTTAAAACATGTAATCCTAAAACAACAGTCAATACAAAAGTTAGTATTTTTGAGAATTTATATTATAACAGTAAATGTCTTGTTCAACAAACTCTTACCCAACCTTGTAACTTTAGTTCTATTGTTGAATGGAAAAATATTGAACAAGAACAAAAAAAGATTGTTATAAGAGTAGGAGAAGAATTTAGAGACTCTAAGGGAGAAGTTGAAATTTATATTGATGTTGTACCAGCTGGAATCACAGCAATAGAAAGTAAAATGATTGAAGATCGAACAGTTCCTCATTGGGCTCCAGACTCAGTATCGACAAAACAAGAATGGATTAATAGACTTCAAAATAAAAAGAAGGTCACACCAAAGAAAACTCATAAACAATACATTCATCCACTTAAACACAAATCACTCCCAGTTACTTCTTTAACTCCTCCATCTTTACCACAACCTGTTCACCAAACACAACCATTACAACAACCAAATATTCATCCTATTGAAATAAATAAAAATACTAGTAATTCTAAAAGAGCTCTTATTGTTATCTTTATTGTTTTAGTATTATTAGCATGTGTTGTTGTAGGATTTGTGTATTTCAGAAGAAACAAACAAGAGAGTCAATATATTGATTTGATGGCTTAAACCCATTTTAAAAACACAATTTTATTTAGAATATATATATTTTTTTGTTTTTATAAATTTAAAGAATTTTAAAAGAAGAACTTATAAAAAAAAGAAACTTAAAAAAAAGAAATTAATAGAAAACCAATGATTATCATTCTTTTCTTCATTTATTTTGGATTATCATCTCCTATACCTGAGTTTACATTAGAAGCACCATATACCACTTTAATTAAAAATTGGAAAAAAATTGGAAAAACAAATGTAATTAATGACACAATAATTGAACTTACACCAGATACTCAAAGTGTTTCAGGTCTTATTGTTTCAAGAAAAAGAATTCCTATTAAAAGCTTCAAAATGGAAATTACATTACAAATGACATCAAATAAAGAAGGAAAACATGCTGATGGTATTGCCTTATGGTTTACACAGTCCCCATTAAAAACAGGAAAAGCATTTGGAGCATCCAACAAATGGAAAGGAATTAGTGTTATTTTTGATACATTCCAAAATGGTAAAATGGAAGTACCAACAGCACAAATGATAATGAATTTTAATAATAAAGAGTATAAAGGAGAAACAGATGGAATTGATATTATGTCTAAATCCTGCTATTTTGGATCATATAGAGGAAATCCTTTTACAGTATATTTTGAATATAATCATGACACTCACGAAATTAATTTAGATCTTCAACAACAAGGAAAAGAAAAAGTTAATTGTTTTAAAGGTGCAGTATTTAAAATGGACATTGGTCAATATTTTGGAATTAGTGCAAGTAATGGAGACTTAAGTGACAGTCATCGATTAATTTCTGTAAAAATGACTGATCCAAAAATTAAAATACCAAAAAGAAAAGAATATAAAACTAAAGAACCAGAAACAGAAGAATTAAAACTAGAACCAATTGTTAATACTTTTAATAAAGAAGAACTTAACAAACAATGTAATGACAATGAAAAATGTAAAATAATAAAAGTATATACTACACTTGGAAATATTTCTGATGAACTTGCATTAAATATTAAATTGGCAAAAGAAAGAAATGAAGTTTTAAATAAAATATATGAAAGAATGGAAAAAACATCAAAAAGTGTAACTTATTTAAGAAGTAGTGCAACTGTTTTAAAAACAATTCACGACATTCAAGACGATGAAGCTGATAAAGTTTCAGATTTCTTTACTTCAATTGGTGATTTAATGGATAAAATTACAACACTCGGTCATTCTTTTTATTCTTCAAATAATCAATATGAAAAAGTTATTTCATTAACACTAAATGACTATTTCATATTTACATTACAACTTATTCTCTTTATTGGAGTTCTTTTTTACACTTTACTTCTTTATTCAAACAATCGCAACAGAGTAATTTAATACTTCATTTTTATTTATTATTTTAAAATAAAAGTAGGGAAAATGAAATTGTTTTATTTGTTAAATTACTCATTCAATTTAAAATTATTCACATAATACAATTGTTAGTTAACAACAACAGTATTTGTTGTGTTAAAATGAGTTGGTGATTTTGGTGTATGAAGAAATTCACTACCAACAGGAAATGATATTGGTGAAAATTGTTCAGACCAATCAGCTGAATCAAAAAATTTTTTATTCTTTCGTTCAGCTTGAGCTAACATTCCATATGATTTAGATGTATCTGACATGTTTATTTTAACAATATTTTTTAGTTTCAAGTCTTAAATTAAATATTTATAACGTCTTGATTTTGTCATCACCACTAATGTATTTACGACGTTTTTTTTTGAAACTTTCTTTTAACTTTCGATTTATCGATTTATTGGAGATATTTACTTGAATAACAGAACCAATACCATTTCCTTTTGTTTGGAGTTCTCCTCTAAAACTCAAAACAATGAAGATTGACTCTTCTTTAAAACTAAAAATAAATAATTTTCTATTGAATTGAAGTTGTTTATTATTTTTGATGTTTTTACAAAAATTGTATTTTTCTTAAATATTTCATTCAGTGAGGAATGATGAAACAAAAAAACTTACAAGATTTTTTAATTTAACCCTTAACTAATTTATTTTTTCATAAAAGATCCTTTTATCAATTCAGAATATACAACAAATTTTGTTGCCATGTTATTGAGTAATGTAATAGAGTAATGTAAAGAAAAACAAACAAGAAACAGGAATTCAAGTTGAAAGAAAAGAAAGAACTTCAATAGCAATAAAATACATAATAATAACTACGATAAAAGAAATAAGAAGAAAAGTGAATAGAAAAAGAAGAACACAAAGAAAAACAAATAAGAAAGAAAGTAAATATAAAGATAATAAACATTATACAAATAAGAAATATAAATTATTAACAACAAATGAAATTGAAATAAAAAATAAAAGAATAACAAGAAAATGAGAAAATGAGAAAAGAGAATAAACAGAAATACATAAAAAATAAGAAGATAAAGAAAATTGTATAAATATCATTTTTATTGTAAAATTTATTCTGTTTTATATGATTATTTTATAAAATAATATCATTTTTATGGAAAAGGTAATAAACATGTTTAAAAGTGTTTTATTTATTTTATTTTTGTGTATATTTTTTAATGTTGGTTTGAATCATATATAATGTTTTTATCTATTTATTGTGTTTAAATTATTCATGTTATAAAAAAATATAATAATTGAAAGTATAAAAATTAAATACTATGAAGTAATTATTAATAATAATAGTTGAATCATGTAATAAGAATTAAAAATGATAATGATAAATATATAATGTATTAAATTTGTTGTATAATATTTAATTGTTTAAATTCTATTAATTCTATTATTTATTATTTGTTTTTGTTCATTATTTTGATATTGGTTATATTATCATTGTGTTTTATTATAATAATTATTTGTATTAAAATGTTAATTGATTCTGTTTAAATTAATAATAAAATACTTATAATGATGAAAATAATTGAAAATATTCATAGTATTAATATTTTAGTTAATATGATAATAATTAATATGATAAAATTAATGTATTTCTAACAATACAAATAATAGTTATTTGTACAGATTTTTCTATGATTTATATTTGTTGATTGATATTGAATTTTCATTCTTTATAATTAATTTTTTATGTTTTCTGTAAAATATTTATAAATTATGTTAAAATCCATTTGTATAAAAAATATAAAAAGAAAATAAAAAAAAAAAATGAATGAATAAAAAAAATATTAATCTTCTTTTTTGAGGAATGTTGAATCTTTTTGTTGTTTTAATTGTTCATTCATAGTATTTTGATAAGATAAATGAGGAGGATAATAAGATAACCATAAATAAAGGAATAAAGGAATAAGATAACCAAGGAAATAAGTTCTATAAAGTACAATAAGTGATGGGATTAATTCGAATCTCATGAAAGGATAAACAGCATAATTTAAATGCCAATGATTAAATACTCTTAATAAAATATCATAAAGTTTCCATTGAATACTTTTTTCACCAAATTTTATTTTCATAAAAGGATCAAGACGTTTATAAATTAAATTTGATAAATCTTTATCAAAACCTAATATAAGAAATGAAATATAATAACCAGGATATACACCATGCCAAAATGCACAAACTACCATAGTTAAAGTAGTTTTATATTTTTCTAAAGGAGTTCCAATCATTGAAACATAAACATAATTTTTTAACCATTTTTGAACATAAGTATTCCAAAGATCCATATTTACTTTACATGATCTACATATTTCAAATTCTAAAATACTAACATTTCTATATAATAAAAATTGATCTTTTCCTTCTTTTGTTGTTCCAGTATAACCACATCCTGAAATTTCTCCAAGTGATTCTGTTAATTTCCATGTTCCATAATATTTTAATCTAAGTGTAGAAACTGTCCACCAAATAGTTAATAATTTCCATCCAATATTACATGT